CGGAGTCCCCGCCCCCCGGAGCGGCGAGCGGGCAGCGCCTCCCGCGGCGGGAGACAGAGCCCTCCGTCTGGGCTGTCTTCCCAGCTTCCGCCGGCGACGGGGGCCGAGAGAAGTTGAGGTCGGACCGGACGCGTGCAGGGCCCCAGAAGAACCGGCCCTCTGGGCCCCGCCAGTCCGGCGGCTCCGCACCGGTGAGGGTCGCGTGGGTCTCTGAGTTGGGGGGGCGGTGGGTTCGCACCTCTACGGAGCTGCACCTCCCGAGCCTCACGTTCTGAGCCGGGGCCGCGGGGACTCCGGGCACCCGCCCCGGGGAGTTCCTCTGGGGCTCCTTTGTCCCCTCCGGATGGGGGGTTCCAAAGGCCGGCGCGGTGCAGTGTTTGGGGGCCCACCGTGGGTGCGTGTGCCTCCTTCCACCGCGGCAGGGGGCTGCGGGGAGGTGCGAGCCTCTGGGCCGCCCTGAGTGCCTGCCTCCTCCCGAAGTCTGGGGGGACGGCCGGGTCTCGCCGGAAGCCCCTGCGCCCGGGGCGGTGAAGGTGAGGCTCGGGGTTTCCCGTGCCAGCCCTGGGGCGGAGGCTGTGCGCGCCGCAGGCTGCACCGCCCTGGCACCGCCGGATGACACCGCGCTGTTCCTCTCGCCTCAGTTCCTGTGGCCTTCGTGTAAGGCAAGAGGAAGGCGAAGCCTGAGCTGTGCTCGAACATTTAAAGTTGGTTTCAAAGCCCCTTCTCGGGAGTGGGACCCGGTTCCAAGGAGCTTCCCAATGGAGTGTGCTCTCTGGTTCATGGAGACACCCACTCGAGACCGGCGGCGGAGGCGAAGCAACTGTATATGCAGATTTTCCATTCACAAAAGTCATTTAACACTTTGTGAGGTACATCTGCGCTGGGGAACGTACCCAGTTTCATCTGATCTATATGCTGTCTGAAATGATAGGTCACTCGGGCTCCTACTTAAACAGGTTACAAAACTTATCTGATGACATAAGCATATTTGCTTTAAATACATAGTTGAATGAATTTTTTTGCCTGTCTGATGCTGGAAGACTTAAATGGCATTTGAGTAGAATGCCCTGTGTGTGGTAGAATTATTAATGTTTATTAACTTGCCCAGAAATTAAGGCTTTTTTAGGAGAGCAAGGATGATGGAGGAGCATGGGTGATTTGCTCCTTAGGGTTTGTGCATCCCATCAGGCATCGTCTAAACGGATCACACTCTGAAGCTATGGTCAGTTTCTATGCTTGCTAGAACCTGTCTTGGAATGAAATTACTAAGATCATGCTAGTTTTGTAAAACAGGTTGGAGAAGGGAGAGTAAGGGAATGCAGTTTGTCCTCTTGAAAATACAACTAATATCAAATATCTGTTACTTCTTTATTTGATAGCAATTATGCATGGATGACTATGGTATGCTTGTTCAGAGTACTAGGAAAGGGAATAGAGGAAACATAAGAACTACCTTTTAGGTCTTTAATTATGGAGATTAAGTCCTTGCGGTCAAATTCCATGTGAACCGTTTGAGCCACAATGCATTGTACACTGGTGCTTAGAAATGCCTGTTTAATTAAAAAATGGTCATGGTTTATTTTTCTTTCATTGAATGATAATATTTATTGTACCTGTGATATGTAAAAAGATGCTATATTTTTGCAGTTAGAATGTTACTACATTTTAGAGGCAATCAAATGCTTCTTTTAAAAAATATTGATTTTGAGAGAGAGACAGAGATAGATAGTTGTTCCGCTTACTTATGCATTCATTGGTTGCTTCTTGAATGTGCCCTGATTGAGGATCAAACCTGAAACCTGGGCATATCAGGATGATACACTAACCAGATGAGTTACCCAGCCAGGGCTAATCAAATATGTTTCTTAGAACACATTTATGGCACTTAGGAATTTGGTAATATCTAGTTTTTTGTCTCATTTTGAATTGAAAAACCTTAAAATATGCTTTGAGGAGAAATATACAATTCTAAAGAAAACTAGTAAAATGCACCTAAGCCATCAAGGAATAAGAAATATACAATTTTGTGTAATGGGGTTATATTTTGGTTTGATTTAAGAAAAAAGTAATAAAATTATGAATTTATAAAATCTGCATTATAAAAGGATCTTCTTTTAAAGGACAGATTGTAGAATTTTTTTTAACTAGAGAGTGTTCTTAGTACATTTAAATTGGATTTGTTTATAAATAATCCTCCAAGAACAGGTTACTTGTATTGAAGTATGAAGGACAAAATAAAGAACTGATACTTAGTGTTCTAATTATTATTTTGGAAAATTATTATCCTAATAGCAATACCTGAAGAATTACATTTTAATATTTATATTATAATATCTAAAGCTGAACACATTTGTAGTAATGATCTCTGATCATCAGGGGATTCAAAAGTGGAAGACATGGGCCCTACCTTATTCTTAGGAATATGATCTACAAACAATATGTAAATACAAGTTGCATAAAAAGCTGCTTCTAAGTACTTTATTTTATTTTTAAATGTATTTTATTGCTTTTTTACAGAGAGGAAGGGAGAGGAATAAAGAGTTAGAAAGATCGATGAGAGAGAAACATCAATCAGCTGCCTCCTGCACACCCCCTACTGGGGATGTGCCTGCAACCAAGGTACATGCCCCTGACCAGAATCGAACCTGGGACCCTTCAGTCTGCAGGCCAATGCTCTATCCACTGAGCCAAACTGGTCAGGGCTCTAAGTACTTTATTAATGAAGGTGGCTGTTTTCAAGGAGATTGATGGAGGTGCTTGATTATAGCAATTGTAGTTGCGGCTGAAGTATAGTAGTTTCCTTGTAAATGGGACAGAGAAAGATGTCTGGACTAATGTGAGAAGATTTCATGTCAGCATGGGGGAAACCCCTGAGAGATTTTTAGATCTCTCCTTCCTTCCACCTTGGTCCCCATTCCCTCATATACCTTCTCAAAGGTGTGAAGCTGAGGGTCTCATCTGGAAGACCTGATATGTGGGATTTTTCCTCCCTGAAAAATGTTATCAGGTTTTCAGGCTTTCTTCAGAGACTTTGTAGGGAAGGAATCCTTGCCCTGGAACATCATACCCTTAAACCCTGTGTTATTTAACTTTGTTAATGTTGCAAACAGTGTAATATGTCCATGATAGCAAGGACCTTGTCTATTTTGCTCATCATTGACCCAGCAAATGTTAATGAATGAAAAAATGTAGTTCCAGATACATGACTAGAGAACAAAAAAGGAATATGTGATAATGTATTCCAAAGTAGATACAATGCAGTGAGATGATAAGGATATTGGCTTCCGGAGAGTGGAGCAGGTCTTTTAATCAGGGAATCTTTCTTGGTGGTGGTGTTTCTTAAGTTAGGTCTTACTGAAAGCGGTATACCTGAAGATAAGCAAGTTTTCTAAGGGGGTAGATAGCATAAACCAAAGCATTTAACTTGTAATCACATCAGATTAAACACAGTGAGTCATTTTTGGTAACATGAAGAATTTTTCTTCTCCCAGAATAGAACTGTCGCCTCTACGGATAAGATTGTCATACCTTATAAGACCTAAGGTTTTGAGTACTTGAGTTTTGAAAGTGACAGTGGTACAGTGAAAGCAAGAGAATTAAATGTGGGATCAGAAAATCTGAATTATATTTCTGATTGCATTTTATACAAGCAAGTGTCCTTGGGCAAATCACTGGGCCTTAGTTTTCTCACAATCCTTATTCCATATGAATGAAATTACGTAATGTATATGAAAATGCCTACCTCAGTATTTAGCACATAGGGGAAATCAACAAACATTAAATTATTTAAAACATTTTTTTGTCTTTGGATATTTAAAAAAATATTTTGGTGTATTTATCAAGAAATTTAATATCTTCTTAACCAAGTGTTACCGTTGTAACTAGCTAGCTGATATTAATAATAAGAAAGGAACAAAGGGGAGGTCAGACATTATAAGTATGGTTGTCTGGGCTGGAAGCTGCAACTTTACACTCCCCAGGGAACCACCATTTCCATTCCCTGCAGATCACTGGGGAAAGGGATCAAACAAAGGGGAAGATTGGTGTATGCATAGTGAAAGGGTTGCATAGTGAAGATGCTTGTCTGTTGGTCTAACCTGGAACTAAGGTAATTGGCTAGGAGGTTGAAGCCACCATAAGCCCGAGAAAATTTGGGAATACATAATCCCCAGGCAAAGGAATTCTCTCTTTCTCGTTCCTCTAACTTTGCTCCTGCCTCCTTGCAGTCATATTCCCTCCATAGCCATGTGGCCCTAAAGCCGCATGGACCATGGCCATGTTGACTCCACATGCAATGGACTACAGCTGGGAATAGGAACTAAGCTAGCCTGATGTGCAAATATGAAGCAGAAACTCTGGGCAGCAGCTTTAATCCTAGCTCTGCTGAAGACATATCTGGACTGGTGTCGGGATGGAGGGAGATAGAGACCTTGGAAACTCAGAATTCCACAGAAATAAAACTTTTCATGCAAATCAACATCACTCATTCTCCTGTGTTTGTCTCAGAAAACTCATGGTTTCATGGCAAAATTAGATGCTTGCTTTTCTTTCAATCATGCATATGTTTCCTGATAGAAATGAGGCTTAATTGTGTTACTTCTTAATATTAACACAAAGAATGGTAGATGCCTCAGATTTTTAAAGCTTCAAGTAAGGGATATGTATGGCTGAAAATCTGAGCCTTTAGGCTTTTCTTCTAAACAAACAATCTGTTTTTGAAGAAATTGCTTTACCTGTCATGCCATCTGTCTAGTCATTGTTGTGAAGAAATGGGATTTTCCTACTATTAAGAAGAAAAACTACCAGAAATATTCTCTATATGTTTCTAGTGCTCTGAGTGATTGTAAACCATGAAGGATCTCTACCTGCTGTGTTTTATTTTAGAATTCAATATTTTCTGAGCATGCTAATAGACTTTTGCATCATTTCTTATCTAAGCTCTTTGTTCTAGTAGCTGTTTATTCTTCTATGAATCTCAAAATTTCATTATACTTTGTGAAGTCTTTGTAGTGTTTTTACTCTATGGAGTAGTCTGTACTTTGTAATAATATTTGGAGGGGAATTGTATTATTATAAGAAGACTGAAAAGAGTCTTGAGTCTTCAAATGATGAAGAAACCAGTTACCTACCATCTTCCATATTCACAGAGGACTGAAAAAAAGAGGAAATGGTTTTAGAGTTTGAAGACTCT